CTCAGAAGAGACAGTGGGAGAGGATGTTTGTCAATTTAATGTTCTCTTCTAAAAAGCGCATTTTATAGTGCTTCTTTGCTCAGGCTCCCTGAAAGCCTTTTTTCAGACGGAGGGAGCTTCATCCTTGTTTTCTAGGTGGGGAGAGAACCTGAAGAATTTACACTGTCAGATGCTCTAGGGCAAAACTATTGATGCACCAGGCTCGCGTTGGCTGAACCAGCAACTGCGTGTGTCCCGGGAAGGGGACAGAAATGCTGCTCCTAGGGATAAAAAAAAAATCCCCATCCCTTCTTCGGGAGACAGCTGAGCTGATTTACAACCCTCCTTCCCGCGGGGCAGAGCCTGCTCGGAAAAAACCCTTCGTGTTTCCCGCTCCGGGGCTGCCTGGCCTTTAGTTAAAGAAAAACAGAGGAGGGATCGGAGGAAGCGCTGCTGGGTGCTAACGTAGGATAACAAACGATGAGCAGCACGGCCCAGCCGGGCAGGAGGGTGTCCCGGCGGCGTGCGGGGAATTGTTTTGCTCTCCGAACAGGCGATGCCAGCGATCCCGGAGAGGGGAGCGTGGAGCAGCAGGGCCTTATAAGGAAGCAAAATGCGGCTCGGCGAGGCCGAGCGCCGGTGGAGGGGAGAGCGGGGGCTTGCCAGGGCCGTGCGTCAGCACCTCGCTTCTCTGCGGCTATGGGGAACAGGCTGCAGCGGCCCGGGGTGCATACGAGGTGTGGGTGCTGCTGGGCTGGATGCGGGGCACCCCCTGCCGCGTTGGGGTCCGCTTCGGTGGCAGCACGTCACGGCGTCTTCAGCCCTCGATGCCGAGATCCCCGTGGAAGCTCAACGGCAGCTCTCGCCCCATCTGTCCCTCCCAAGTGCTGCCCTATGCGGTGGGGAAGGATTTAAAAAGCATTAAAATCGGTGGTTAAAACCAGTCCCGTACGGTGCAATGCTGCTGGCTTTATCTCGCTTTGGGTTTTTTTCCAAGGCACATAGAGCTGAAGGGAAAAGGGTTTGTGCGCGTGGCACTGGGCAGACAAGACCCTGTGTCTTTGCTGCTCTGCTCTCCTGAGATCAGTCCCTCCCCGCTGGCGCGAGGGCTTTGCCCATCCTCTTGTCGGAGCAAACGGCAAAGCCGCTCGTGGCCATAGCCAGCGGCACGGGCTGCTGCGTCCCCATCCCGAGGAAACTGCTGCTGAATCGGCCGACAACAGCTCTCTGAGCCTTGGAAAAAAGCACTGGAGACACGGGGGGCTTGGAGAGCACTCCTGAGGAACCGTCATTTCCAGCCCTTTAGGGCTTACAATGCTTTAAGAGCTAAAACATCCTTCCTGGCACCCAGAGCTGCCAATTGATCCGACAACTATGCAAGGTAAAGGCATGTGGCTGAGATAAATTCAGGGTTACAACTTGTACAGACGCCATTTCAGATATTTCGGTGGCTTCTTTCGAGAAGATGGAGGTGGTTCTGCTGATCCCACTTGACTGGTGGGCAGGGACTGGGTTGAAGGATGGGGTAAAATGCAGGGCAGTGGGGCTGAAGTCCAAGTGAGTTTTGGAAACCGCCCCCCCATAGGAGACTCTCTTAATTCTTGTCTCAGCTCCAAGTGTCACACCAGGGCAGGGAAGAGCAGTCAGTGCTACCCCTGGACCAAGATGGCCACATTGGCCTCTGATGAGGTCCCGTTCACCACCCGTCCCCCATCTCTGACTCTTTTAAGGAAGGTTGTGGGTGATTCTGCCCACATTCATGTCCCCTAGCACCAGAGATGCTGAGTTTCAGCAGAACTTCTTCCAGGGTTGCTGGTGCCATTATTTGATGTTTTCAGCCCATGTCCTACCAGGAACTGTGCACAGATTGCATGTCTTAATTAATGATGTCATTATTTTAAGAGGTTTCCCCTCTTAAACCACATCTTCTGAAGGGCTTGGAGGAGGGGTTTCAGTGCCTGGAAGCTGCCTGGAGCACCCCAAAAGCTCCAGGTTTGGAAACCGGCAGCATACCAGGGCAACTCACCTGTGGGAACCCTGAGCCTCTGCTCTAATTTTGGAGCTCTGCTCTAATTTTGGAGCTGGATCTCACATCAAAGCTGGCCTTGCTTTGGGGTTCTGACCTGAGACCTTGAGAGG